ATTGTCGTAATTGATGTAATGGTATGAATGGTGTAAATATGTGGTGAAATGCGTGGCATTTAATTGCAAAACACATTTCAATTGCAATATTGTATTGAATTAAGTGTTGAAACAATTAATGCATTATTGAAGCCATGAGTGAAAGCACTCTTCCCATCGATATTCACACCAATAAACTGTTGGGTAATTATATCACCATTTGTTTGATCCCATAATCATTGCATTCATTGGCATCTATTGTGTGTCCAAAGACTGGTTAATTAGCCGAAGACATTGTCAGAAGGAATGGCAGCACTTGTTGTCGGAGATCCGCACCAAAATCAAGTCCGCGATCCAAGACATGCCTCCAAACGCATCCATATCTCAACTCTTGTCGGGAAAATGTCAGTCATTTTGCATATATTTATAACTAATTATTGGACACAAATGTCTAACAATTGGCCGATTGTTTTGCAGACATCGAGTATTCGGCGTGTCTTAAGATTGTGGACATTTTGGCCGAAACCGAAGTGAATACTAAAAATATTTTCGGTCACTATTCGTCTCAACGAATGAAAGACTGGAAAGAAATCATCAAAATGTATGAAAAGGATAGCATTTATTTAGGTATTTGTTGATTACGATTGTCTATATATTTGTCATAATGTATGCCATTATGTCTGTGACAGCCGATTGGGCTCAAAGTCTGATCAGAAATGTGAACTATGAGGTGCCGTCCCTTAAGAAACAAGCGATGAAATGTCAGCAAACAATCCAAGAGTGCGAGAAGAGTGCCGAAGACTGTGCCAAACAATCCAATGCTTATAAACACGAATACACTTTAGCCGCTAATAATCTGGGAATTACTGTATAATTGATTGTAATTCATATCGGGTTTAGATATTTCTAAAACGAAATGAATTGATTTTTAGGGCCAAGACATCAGAGAAGAACTCATGTCTCAACTCAATAATCTTCCGGCAAAATTGGATGACATTTTCGCAGACATATCACAGCTTTCTCTCGTTAAAGACTACTACAAAACATTCCTCTCATTTACTCTTAAAAAGTTTGTATATTTTTAGATTTGATTTTCAAAATGTGTAATAATTATGCATTGAATTCAGAGATAAATTGGATTGTCTTCCGGTGTTGTGTTATTTACTGGAAAAGGGAAACACCACTTACTTTGAGTACCGGACGGGTGTTGTTCCCGATGTGATCGAAGAATTCAAATCAACCGTTTGTTTTAGCGATGAAAATGTTAGCTCCGCTGATGTCGGCAACGATAATGTCTGTTATATTTAATACTTATTTTAGCTATTTTTATATATTTTTGAACTAAATTTCAGATCGATTTCGGGGACGGAATAGATTTGGGTGATGACACGGCCAGCATTGAGACGCCGTCCACTGGAAATGGGGATTTCGTTCACATCGAAAGGGTTGGACTCAATATTCAGTCAATAATTGCGCTAAAATTGCTATTAAAATATTATTTTCCTCAAACACTTTAGGACGACTTGTCTCAGGAACAGATAGATTATGGCACTGAAGGCGATGCCATTAATTGGGACATTACTAGCGCTACAAATGGCGATGAAATAAAAGGATGTGACGGTCCGGTCGGCAATATAGCCAAAGGAGAAGACGCACAAACTGTCCTCTTGAACACCACATCCAGAAATGAGTTGATTAACGAACTCATAGAAGTGAGACAACTATTAATTTGTGGTCATTTGTATTGGTTTGTAATGAATTGATTTCTACAGATGGAGGGCTTTCTCGACCAGAGAATATACGAATTGCGTTCGGATGAAGACATTGTCTCATCGAATCAGTTTCAAAACGCTCCGCCATTATTGCAATTGACAACTCCTGATGGCGTGACAGCAATGCTAACAGTAGTTAAGAAACTATTGACTGCTTTGACATCTCCTAAAATGAAAGTTCTTTATTATATGAAAGATAGCTCTAAGTAAGTAAATATACATTTTTACTCTCGTTTTATAATTAATTACAAAATATTTTCAACAGATATATAGAGAATGTGTCGGAAAAGCTTAAACACATTGAATCACTATCAGAGAGGGCTCTCAATAGATCCAAACTCCATGAAAGCAAGCGAATGGTTGCCATCGAAGAGATGAGACTAATTGAGCCCCAAATTCCTGTTCTTATCGATCAGACACGAGAACTTCAAAGAAAAGTAAGTATTTTTTGTTTTGTTTGAATGTCTATTAATTGAATTAAAATTGATTTATAATTACGATTAAGATTGAAAGCGATATCTCAAAGCGATATAAGAATAGAGTGGTTAATATAATGGGAGGCATTCAAGTTCTCTGAAGCATTCAATCATTAATTGCTTGAATTTGTATTAATTTTCATAAAACTTTATATATTTTATGATTTTATCTATTGTTCAGTAATTTATAAACAAAAAAGAAAGCATTTTTAATAAAACTTTTTTATTTTCATTAAACTTTTATTACAAAAAAACATGCTTTGATTTCAATACTTTACAGCTTTGGTAGGATTTATGTTATTACAAGAGCTTTATATTATTTTTACAGAATATTATAATAACGTTTGATTTGTGCTGTTTATTGAGTGTATTGTTTGTGCGTTTGCTTTACAATTAACTCTATTATATATTAACATGTATTTCTGATATAAATAATATACATAATATTGTAAGTAAAATTGATATTACGTTAAAATATCATTGAAATCATCGTTTAGTAAAACTCTTGCGTAAGGAATAAACAAATGTATGTATAGTTAGCCGACGATAATGTTTTGTATGGCAATGATTGGTGATGACTGACAAATAGGCTTTTCGATTGGACACGGATTCCGACTCAAACATTTGGCAAAAGCGCGATCGCATTGACACAATTGATACGAACACTTCTCTGTTATGCCTCCAAACGGAACTACTCCTGCATTTCAATCACAATCAGTATCATTGAAGTCATGTCTTAATGTTTAGATTTGTGATTAAGATCACAGAAAAACACCTAATTTAGAGTTACTTAATACCTATAGCACTGATCCGTTAAGACATGTACTTTACAGTATAGCAAGATGTTTATCACCAGAACTCATATGAAATATTACCTGTTTTAAAATTACCTTTTAGTATAATTTCTCAAATAAAATGTGAAAATTACTGCTGGACTTTCACTCAATTTGTTTTCATAAACTGATGGTTAAGTTTTAATTATAGTTTTATAGCAATGATAATAAAAGGCCATCACTTACCACACCGGGCATAACCGGGTGTAATACATGTCCACTGATAGGGCACGAAATATATCAATATCTGTGGACAGGAGGCCATTGTGTAACACCAGTCGTGTTGAAGACAACAACTTTATGCAAAAACACAATTCTTGACACATTATTATTATAACACTTTCAGACTGTGTTTACTTATCAATCTGATCCACTGGTCTTCCGGCGCCTAAATAACCGCAATAACAGCCATAGCTTTTATAACTTAATGGATCACATCCTGAAAGGCAATGCGTTTAAGACCGGAAAAAATGAATGCTATAATTAGTATTTTTATATACCCGAAACACATCTAATCATTCCCGCCAATTGAATGATACTTCTCTTCGCCCGACTCTTCACACGTTGTGATCCAATGGTCGCAACTCTTTTCTCCCATTCGACGCTATCAATGGTTTTATTCGCATAATTGGTTCCTAAAGCTGTTCCCAAAGACTCTATTCTGTTATTATCTTTCGTTTTCAATTCTATAGCTGTTGTTGTCTTTGGTGTCGTTGTCGTGCCTTTCAATCGATATTCAAGAGAAGTATTATTAGAAATGAAAGGAACATATAATTAAAGCAATAATTACCTGTTATTACAACGATTAGTAAACTATATATTAGACAACATTGAGTTGAATTATAACAAATTGCAGGTTTACTTCGCATAATCCCATTTAGGATCGATTCTATTATCAATCTGATCCACTGGTCTTCCGGCGCCTAAATAACCGCAATAACAGCCATAGCTTTTATAACTTAATGGATCACATCCTGAAAGGCAATGCGTTTAAGACCGGAAAAAATGAATGCTATAATTGGTATTGAAATATACCCGAAACACATCTAATCATTCCCGCCAATTGAATGATACTTCTCTTCGCCCGACTCTTCACACGATGTGATCCAATGGTCGCAACTCTTCTCTCCCATTCAACGCTATCAATGGTTTTATTCGCATAATTGGTTCCTAAAGCTGTCCCCAAAGACTCTATTCTGTTATTATCTTTCGTTTTCAATTCTATAGCTGTTGTTGTCTTTGGTGTCGTTGTCGTGCCTTTCAATCCATATTCAAGAGAAGTATTATTATTAGAAATGAAAGCAACATATAATTAAAGCAATAATTACCTGTTATTACAACGATTAGTAAACTATATATTAGACAACATTGAGTTGAATTATAACAAATTGCAGGTTTACTTCGCATAATCCCATTTAGGATCGATTCTAATACCAGTTTCGTTATAAGATTGACATTATTTGCAGTGATTTATATCTAAACATTTGTTCAAATTTATAGTTTTATTTATCAATTTCTTGTTTAGATTCTGAATAATTCTTAAAACAAAAACTCGTGAAAATAATCGACAAATTCTTTTAAATACAAAACAAATTTATACAAGAATTGAAATAAGTGTCGAAAAATGATAATTCATATCCAAAAACGAAACACAAGTTTTATTATTAAAATATTCCAAATATTATACGAAATGAGAGAAAAAAGTTTTCGAAAACTATTTCTAAACAACAATAATAACAATAAGAGATGAAAAATAAGATCTCGTCTGAAAGCAAATCTACTGCAGATGTGGTCTGAATGACATACAAATCGCTAGTGAAGTGATGTCTTGGATTAGAACTGCATTTTCTGGTTTGGCTTCGGAGCCGAAAGAAAGCAATCTTTTGGAGTTAGCGTTGAGAGAGCCGTTCGTTAAGGACTGTTAAGGTTGGCCTACTTTGTGATCAACAAAACGCTCTCACAATAGAACCGGGCGTTCAATTCATTTCGTGATGTACTCAATGTACGAATCATTCACTCCTCACTAACAGTAAGTTTTGTTTTCCAAATGCAAAATTGACTCAACTCTAAGACCAAATTCTCAAATTTGTTCACAATTTCTCGCATTCTTCCACAACAGTCCGACAATTGCCACAAAAGGCAACACTAATCTCCACTTCTCTCTCAAAATACCGTATCTTTTCTGCGATTATTTATTAATAACAGTAAATATATCGCAACTGTTATACACGCGAACACTAAATCAAAGGTTCTCTGACTTTTTTTTGATAATAATACTTTAATTTACACCTCTTATCACATCTCTTGTTAATTACCGCAAAAATTATCACAATTTTATTTCAATTTCTAACCATTCATTAAAACACAAAATCTATTATTTAATAATTAAGTTAAATATAAGACATAAAAATTGTTTTTAGACTTTCCATAACATTCGTAGCCAAATGTTAAATATGTTTTAAACCGTTATTACAGTGTATTTATAAAACTTTGTTGATTGTCATCACATTTATCATTGCATTTAATTTTAGACCAAACTTTTCTCTTTAAATGTATATTAAATTTGATGCAAACTCTTGTTCCCGATTATAACTGATTACAAGAATAATACTACAAATGGCACAGCATTTGCTGAGTGAAGGGTTTTGTATCACTTTTACTTCATCCTATCTATTGTTTAACTACAAACTCATTCCCTCCTATTCTTCCACTTTCTTTATTGTCTATTTTTTATTATACTTTATATTTTTGAGGTCTTTCTGTGTCTATTATTTATATATAATTTTTTAATAGTAATAATAGGAAAGCCTTTTCCATTCATATACTGTATGTATTTTTGTATAAAATTTTAAAAAATATTATTCACATGAGTTTCCGTATTCATAATAAATAACTGACAAATCAAATGGAATTTTATTATTATATTTTATTGTTGTATTTTTCAAAGTTATTTTATACACATGTTTGACAAAAAACTTGTAATTTCATGGATAGAAAAATAAGTGGAACACTATTTTAGGTGAAAATCTAGCCTAAACAGTGAAATTCCAGTTTCAATTAGCTTTTGATAACTTATTTCAATTAAATTTCTTTAACGTTTAATATTTAATATAAATTTTATGTTTAAAATAACCGAAAATCACTTTTCACTATATTTTAATGCATTCATCAAGTTTTAAATAATTGTATTATGTATTATGAAATCGTTATAATTATTAACTATTTTTGTTTTCTTTTTAAACAAAGATTTTAAAAATAAATTTAAAACATTAATGGCATTAAAATTTTTATGATTTGTCTTAAAAATAAATGAAAAATCTATTAGTGTTGTAGAAATCATTTGGATTATTATGGAGAAAGTCCTGCACTTAAACTCCTTTTGTATTCAATTATTAAACAATATATAAATAATAATAAACTAATTGTTTGGAAGTAAATAAGAAAAATAATAAGATTTATATAAATACTAAATACTTATAAGAATGCATTCATTTCCTTATTTTATTGTTATTTATTATTAAGTCATTCATTCATTTACTTTTTTGGTTAAAATCCAAAGTAAACTATTTCTGCGAGAAAAATACAATTAATTTCAAAGCGATTTGTGTGTCTGCGGTCCCTCTCGTCATACATTTCCTAATTTCCTATTAACACAACTTAACACAACTTTACCACAAAATGTGATCACAAAAGTTGTTTTGTCACTTAAAAAGTGTTTCAATTAACGAGTTTTTGTTTCCCTTAGCACACACTCAGTATATATTGACATAACTATAAATTTATATTGTATTGTATTTAGATATTAATTACCATTCATTTGATTGTTTAGAACAAAACTGTTACATAACTTATTATCATATTGTTATTATTCTGCAATAAATTACTGCTTTACACAATATATGTGTGTTTTAGAAATGTTGAGCATCTTCAAATATTGATTCTTAATGATTTTTTTGTAGTCACTTAATATTTTACTTTTAATTTACAATAATATCGATTATTGTAATTGAGATTCACTTTGAAATTAAAATAATTATATAAGCGATAAAATCCTATTTATAGGTCATAAACATTCACAAACATTAAAATACAATCGATTAAAGTATTACTAACACTATTTAATCAATACTAATCCCACTTAATCTCAAATAGATCAGTACTATTCATATGTTTAACATTATTTTATTAGTAAGAATTAAATAATGAATGAATGAACGAATAAAACATACTTAAAATATTTAAAAATGCATTTTTACAATAATTGTCACTAGTATTTATTATCATATTAATTATTTTGAATAAATGCATATTTCATTTAAATCATACCATTTTTAACACTAAAAAGTTTAAGTTTTTAAAAAGTTTTAATA